AGAAATTCCATTCAGCCTTGCACTCATCACATTTGGCGCTGTCGGGCGCTATTTTCCTTATACAGTCGTACACCCATCTTGGATGTAAATGAGTGGAATATTTCCAATTATCTCGCCAAAAGCACTGCGTGCAACAGTGAAATTTGTAACCGCTCCTGAAGGGCTCCAGGAAGTGAGCCATCAGTGAAAGCAAATACAGACCCGTCCACAATGCTCTGTCTGTTTCACAGTTTATTTGGATATGTTATTAACAAGAAATTCTAAGTAAATAAACTGCAGTTATACTTTCTCAAGTCCCGTTAACTCACGCTTGCTTTTGCCTGCAAGAATGCATGCAATCTATTCTGTAGTCTTAAAGGGCGGTTTGTATTTATCTACTGAATTCCATTCATTTACATCCAGTAAATAAACTCAGTAGAAGCCAGAACCAGAACTTTCTGATTGCAATCTGCATAGAAAGTTGTCCAAGTGGAGTCCTGTAGCTCAGTGGCTAGAGCACTCGCCTCACAAGCAAGAGACCTGGGTTCTATTCCTAACAGAGAGAAATGTTGGGCAAGTTTCCTTACTCCATACGCCTCTGTTTACCTAGCAGTCAGTAGGAATCCGGTTGTTAGTCAATTGATGGATTGCTTTTCTGGAGATAATAATCCCTAAACAAAATAATAATTTGGTCACTCAATCCACGACTGTTTGTGGAACATTGCTTTGTGCAATTGGCTGCCGCGTTTCGCCCACAAAGTATACAGCCAATTCACTTTATAATATATTCTGTGAAGCAATTTGAGAGATCTAGAAGACGTGAAAAGCGCTATATCAAATGCAAGTATTATTATCATTAACATTTTGAGTGAATGTGTATACGTCTTCAATTCTCAGATTTCAGGAGAGATACCAGGTTGCCAGGAAGTATGATTGAGGCCACGACACTGGGACTCATTTAAAAAGCAGCTTGATGTACTTCAACTCCATTTACCTGTTTTTGCTCCATATCCACTAATACCGTTGCATAACAAAAGTCTAGCGATATGGTACCTGGAATGGCTCCTTCTCACGATTGGTAATACAGTGGTAAGAAGGGAACGTAACCTTGCTTTGTTTCCCTCTTCCACCCTAGGCAGCAAGTTTCTGATCTTGGCCACACATTTATAAGCATGTGTTCCAACAAAACCAAGTCTGAAATTCCATCTGCTCTTAACCATTAAAAACCTTTTCATCTTAAAATTTAAGAACTCCCAGCATTGTGGGCAAATCCTAAATTATAAATTTTAATTTAGAATTTGGTTCTTCTTAAGAGAACTGGTTTCCTGCTGAGACTATATTGGAAGAAATTTGCACAATTCTGGGGGAATTTGAATTGTAAAACAAATACAGACTGAGGTTAGGTGAATGGCTGGACCAGTGCACATGCCACCCAACAATTAAAGAGATTGGATAGCTTTTCCCACTTGGATAACACCTACATTTGCATGTTGAGGTTAAATTAAATTCAGGAATGAGGAAGCCTTATCTGTGGGTAATAATATAATGTAACATTAGCTCATGAGATCGCAAGGTTGATTTTGATGAGGAAAGCGCTTTGGCCCATTTGATCTCATCCTTCCAGAATACCCATTTGACTATCTTATCACAGAATAAGCTGTTTTTAAAATAAATAGTGTCCTGGCCTTAACCACCCTTCCTGGCAACCTGAAGAAATACTTCCTGGTATTCTTTAAAACTCTAAACCCATGTCGACCTTTTCTACTGCCGTGGTGCCTCTGAAAAGTATTGTTCTGCCTTTACTTTTCAATAATATTTAAAATGTTATTCACCTCTAAAAGGTCTCCTTTGAGACTTCTCCTTTCAAGACTGAAGAGGTGTCTGATCGTTGTTCATCGTTCAGTCCTCGAATACTGTGGAGTCCTGTAGTGGTTAGAGAACTCGCCTCACAAGCGAGAGACCTGGGTTTGATTCTCTGCAGGGCGAAATGTTGGTCAAGTTTCTTTACTCCACACGCCTCTGTTTACCTAACAGTAAGTAGGAACCCAGTTGTTATTCAATTGGCGGATCGCTTTTCTGGGGTAATAATTACTTCAAAAATAATAATAACAATCATATTTTGGTCACTCAATCCACAACTGTTTGTGGGACATTGCTGTGCACAATTGGCTGCCGCATTTCACCCGGAAAATATAGTCATTTCACTTTACGGTTTATGATGCGAAGTACTTTGAGATGTCTTGAAGATATGATAAGATGCCATATCAAATGCAAGGATTATTATTACTATCATCCTTGTTGCTCTCCTCTGGACCATCTCTAGGATCTTATATTGCGGTGATCAGAACTGTATGCAGTACTCTAGGTGGGGCTTCACCACAGCATTTCATAGCTTAAGTAAGAGTTGTGGGGATCTGAACTAAGCTGTTTTCCTCATCATATAATAATAATAATAATAATAATCCTTGCATTTGATATAGCGCTTTTCACGTCGGGAGGACGTCCCAAAGCGCTTCACAGAACACACTGTAAAGTGAATTGACTGTATATTTGTGGGCGAACGCGGCAGCCAATTGCGCACAGCAATGTCCCACAAACAGTCGTAGATTGAAAATGACCAATTTATTATTGTTTTGGTATTGGAGGGATTATTATTAGGCGTGTGAAGTAAGGAAACTTGCCCAAGGTTTCGCCCTGCCTGGAATTGAACTCAGGTCTCCCGCTTGCAAAGCGAGTGCTCTAACCACTGAGCTACAGGACTCCACGTTTCTCCATATAAAGGGAGAAGGGTGTCACACATTCTTTTTTGGAATTAAATCCCCAAGATTTAATAACTAGAAAGTATATGTCCAGCTGTGATTGAGTTTTGGATGAAATAATTTTGATGCTGGTGGTAATCGGTTTCTCAGAACTCTGCAGCTTGTGTCCTCTTCCCCCACCAGATTCCGTGAACCAGTCAACCCTGTTCTTGCCTGACTTCACTGGCTCCCCATCTCTCAGAGAATCGAGTACAAAACCCTTGTTCTCCCCTACGAAGCCCTCTACGGTCTTGCTCCCCCATACCTCTCTGACCTCCTAACCCCATATCAGCTGTCCTAGCTCCCTCCACTAGGTGGACACCGGCCTGCTTCAGGTCTCCCGCACTTCCTGCCTCACGGCGGTTGGGCATTCAGCATCTGTGCCCCCACATTCTGGAACTCTATCCTGCAATCCCTCCGCCTCACCCCCTCTCTTGCCTCCTCCAAGTCCCGTCTAAAGACCGTCTTCTTCCGCCATACCTTCAGACACTCTCCTCCCCCTCCCCCACCTTCCACCCCTCCTGACCCCAATTCCCAGCTCAGATCCAAAAATCCTGACTGTCCAGCACCCTGGGATGTCTTTCCGACATTAAGGGCAGTATACAAGTGTCATTTGTTGCAGTTGTTGTGTCTGCCATCGGAGTATCTAGTGATTATCCCAAGTGTGGGATTATCCATTGAAGAGTGCTCCCTTCATTCCACTAGCATGAGTCCAGGCTTTCCCTCAGTGCAAGACTCCAGGCTTCTGCTCACAGTATTCTGCAACTAGGAGGTGGGTTTGTTACAAAGACATTTATCTCATTGCATCTCACCCTCATCTCTGTTTTGACTTATAATAATAATCTTTACATTTGAAATAGTGCCTTATCACGTCGTTGAAACATCTCAAAGCGCTTCACAGAATATAATATCAAGTGGGTTGATTGTATATTTTGCAGGAGAAACGTGGCAGCCAATTGCCCATAGCAGTGTCCCACAAACAGTTGTGGATTGAGTGACTAAATTATTATTTTTTTTTAATTTTGAAGGAATTATTACTCCTGGAAAGCGATCCGCCAAACGACTAACAACCAGGTTCCTACTTACTGCTGGGTAAACAAGGGCGTGTGGAGTAAGGAAGTTTGCCTAAGGTTTCGCCCTGCCTGAGAATCAAACACAGGTCATCTTGATCATAGATAAACCAATAGTCAACCTCTTCATCACGGGGTTGTGGGGGGGGTGGGTGGGGGGGGTAGAGAAATGAAAGCACATTTTACTAGAGGGAAGAGACTGGTAAGCTCCTTTGTGTTGTTGTTATAATTTGGAAAGTATGCTTCACTTCTGAGTCTGGGAACAGAGAGCTCAGTATTTTTTTTGCAGTCAGCTGCTAGTCATGTATTCTATTTTCATATTCAAAATAGAAAAAGGGTCCTCGCCATGATGACTGAACCCATTGTATATTTAGTAGAATTGTGGGAGCAGCCATAAAGATGTGGGCAGGCAGCCTCGTGGTGCCATGGTACGTTCTTTCTGATGCCTGTGTATTTGCAGTCGTGAAACATGAGAAAATGTGAAAATGCCCCATCATTTGACATAATGCACCAAAGTCTCCCCCCACCCCAACCCCAACCCCCCAGTGCACGTAGAGTAGAGTATTAGCAGAGAGCTAGTGTTTTTTGCCAATATGTGAATATATTGCCAAGAATGCCAAGATTTTCAATCACTCAAAGTACCTTATTCCAAAAGGATTCTTGTGTTGCATTGCGTAACTGGCCCAATGCTAGTAGTGTTTCCGTTAGGTTTTAATGACGGATCTCAGATGTGTGTGACAGCTCAACACCAGGAAAATGAGAGAGAAAACCCTTTGGCCTATTTGATCTCATCTTTCCAGAATACCCACCCTACCATATTCCCTTACAACATCGAGCCGTTTCTGAAATATGTCTCTGAGTCCTGACATTCCTTTTGACTGTCCTGAAATGCTCTTCACAATCCTGAATCTGTCATGTGCCTTGGGGTGTTCGTAAATATTACATTCCCAGCTTTACATTCATACAGTCCATGTAGCAACTTATTGGACCTCTATAAGGTCAGCTTTGGGCCATCTTTTTTCAACGCTGAAGAGAGGTTATAAATTCATATGTAATTGGGACCAGGGAATATACAAAGACTTGCTGTTCCAGTTCAAATTGTAAGCCTGGTTATGAATAGGTTATCAAGATGTGTTTTCATTTTTGTCCGCAGGTGATGTCAGTTTGTTCTTGTTAAGGTCCGGGAAATGCATTGAAACATGGGGAGGAAACTGGATCTGTCAAAACTAACCGAAGAAGAGGCCCAACATGTCCTGCAGGTTGTCCAGCGAGATCTTGATCTACGCAAGAAAGAAGAAGAAAGACTTGGGTAAGTTATTGCCATGAAACGCACTTCAGCTCAGACATACCCCACCGTATTCTTGGGATGTTGAGATGAATAAGTAGGAATGAAGGCTTCTCCTGTTGCTCTCTAGGGAGCATTCCACCCTCTTGCTGCAATACAGTAAAACTTGAATGAGTGTTATCTTTATAAATCGCATAATTCATACATCCTAAGTTGTATATCCACCCAGGTCCTGTTCAGTTTCCTATCAAAACTGCTTAGATTTATTTGCACTAGTCGTATTAATTACCTCCTAATGCCGCTCCCCTACCCTCCATTATTCCTGCACTTACCAGCTGCGTTGAATCATGGGAAATGACATCCTGACCTATCGCCGCATGCACACTCACTGGCCAGTTGCAATGAATTACGGGAAACATAGTCTTGATCTGTCGCTGCAGAAGAACTTCATTTTGCTTGATTCAATGCAATTCGAATGCTCGCCAATAAGTGCACATGCAACGACGAATCAAGACACATTGAATCGCTATGCTCCAATTGGCTTAATTGCCTCGAGTGACCAATGCAAAAACTAACAAAGGTTCACTCTCCCAATTCCTATCCAGTGACTCCTGCTGGAAAGAGCAGGTGTGTGGAGTTCAGGAGCAGACCAAGTTTTGTTAAGAGTATCAAATACAACTTTGGACCACAAGCAAATCATTTTATAAATGTATATTTGCCCAATCCCTCCACTCTACCAACTCAGACCTGCTCCAGTCTAGCCTCCAATCACCTAACTCTTGATTTTATTAATTTAGCCTCAGTGAATCTATATACTTTATATTTTATTGTCAGAGGTGTCTTCCTTCGGATGTCTCGGACATTGAACTGATGTCCTGTCTGCCTGTTCAGGTGGACTTTAAAGATGCCACGTTGTTATTCGAAAAGAGAAGGGAGTTTCTCTCTCTCAGTGTCTTGGCCAACAATCCCCTAAATGAAATTGGTCACTTTGGTCACTCACTTCACTTGACAGTGGTGGAGGATGACTCCGAGCCTGGGCAAGTGGGAGGTGACTGTAGGCTCGGTTGAATAGGAAGGTCTTCAGACCTGAAAATGGAAGGGGCAAGGTGGAGTGATAGAGGCAGAGTGTTCCAGACTTTCGGGGTGTAATGGCTGAAAACACGGCCACCAATGGTAGATTGGAGGGCATCGGGGACGTGCAGAAGATCAGAGCCAGTCGAGAGGTTGTAGGTTGGGGAGTAAGCTGGTTGGAGAGGTAGGGAGGTGCCAGGGCATGAAGGGATTTAAAAATGAGTGTGAGGATTTTGAAATCGACCCGTTCGATAATGAGGAGCCAGTGAAGCTTGGCTAGAATTGGTGTGATGGGGTTACAGAGTTTAGTACGGGTCAGTATGCAGGTGGCAGAGTTTTGGATCAGCTGGATCCTGTGCATGATGGAGGTAGGAAGTCTGGCAAAGAGGCATTTGAGAAGTCCAGTCGGGAGGTGACGCATGGACAAGTGTTTCGACTGCATCTGGGGTAAGGTACAGTCAGAGGTGGGCAATATGGTGTAATTGGAAAAAGGCGGTCCTGGTCAGGAACCGGATGTGGGGAAAGAAGGACAGCTGTGGGTCAAACTTAATGCCTAGGTTGGGCACTGGTTCAGTAAGGCTTGAGGGTAGGTTGAGGAGGTCAGAGCCACAGGATAGAAGATGTTGACTGGAGCCAATGAGTATGGCTTCCATCTTGTCAACATTGAGTTATAGGAAGTTTTCGTTCATCCAGGTCCTGATGTCCGCTAGACAAGCTGAGAGAACATCGGCAGACCTGGAATCGCAGCAGGAGGAGAAGTAGATTTGTGCATCATCCGTATACATGTGGAAATTTACCCCATGTCTGTGGATGACATTGCCAAGAGGAAGCATATAGATGAAGAGGAGGGGGCCAAGATGGAGCCTTAGGGTACACCACAGGTGACCGGTCGGAGGCGGGAGGAGAAACCATTTAAGGAGATAAAGTGAAGGCGGTTTGATAGGTAGGATTCGAACCAGGGCAGTGCGGTCCCACAGAGGTGGATGAGGGAGGAGAGGCAGTGGATGAGAATGGCGTGGTCAACTGTGTCTCACAGTTGAGTATGATACAATTTCCAATACAGTTTACTGTTATATACTGTGTAAGCAGTATATTTCTCAGCCCAATTAATTTAGTTATTTTTGCCACCAACTATTAAATGAGCACACATTTAATAAAGTGGGTGGGCAATATGCAATCACATGGTTGCTCAAAAATAAAGGGATATGACAAGTGCAGAAACCATGCTTACGAGTGTCAAACCAAACTGAGATTTCCATGCATCCCACCTACCCATGGAAATACAGAGATAGATTGTTGGTGGGACACTGCTGTGGCAATTGGCTGCCGCATTTTGCCCGCAAAATATACAATTAATTCACTTTACAGTATATTCTGTGAAGAGCTTTGAGATGTCGTGAAGACATGATAAGGCGCTATATCAAATGCAAGGAATATTATCATTATTATTATTTGTCGGGAACTAGTAAACTCCAAACTGTCTCGCAAACAAATGCATCCCTCTGCCCTGGAGTCGTATTTGGTGAGCTCTCTGCTTATCTCAACATTAAATATTCAAAATAGCCCGGATTCTGTGTTTTGTTCTGCTTTATTAAATCTGCTATTAATTTAATTGCCTGATGCAAACCAGCAGAAGCAGGTTAAAAGCATACTCTTTAGTCATTTGGTCACTCAATCCACAACTGTTTGTGGGAGACTGCTTGTGCACAATTGGCTGCCGTGTTTCGCCCACAAAATACACAGCCAATTCAGACTTTACAGTATATTGGTGAAGCGCTTTGAGACGTCTCAACAACTTGATAAGGTGCTATATCAAATGCAAGGATTATTATTATGAACATTCGATTATTCTTCTTATTATGAACATTTGTTTTGGCTGCATATTTTTCAGAGGCAAGGGAGCAGGGAAACTGCATACAAAAAATGTTTTGATACTTTGTTTCATGAAAGTGAAGGTGTAAGTTTGCCTCAGTCAGTTGCACTCTTTGCTACCAAGTCAGAAGGTTGCTGTTTCAAGCCCCACATCAGGATTTACTCACATAGTCCAGACTGACGCTCCATTGGGAGGATGCTGCATTGTTGGAGGTGTGGTCCTTTGGATGAGATGTTAAACTGATGGATGTCCTGTCTACCTGTTCAGATAATAAATCTCATGACACTGCTCAAAAAAGAGAAGCAAGTTTCTCTCTCCCGGTGTCCTGGTCAACAATCCCTCAGATAAAAATTGTCTATTCACTTCATGGCTGTTTATGGGACATTGTGTGCAAATTGACAACCTCCAGACATGAAAGATGCTTTATCTAATGTTAAATTTCTTTTTTGAACCCTGATATTAGATAATAATAATAATAAACCTTGCATTTATAAAGCATCTATAACATCGAAGTATCTCAAAGCGCTTTACAGGTAATGCTGTATTTGTAGGCAAATGCACCAGACAACTTGTACACAGCAATATCCCCAAAACAGCCATGAAGTAAGTGACCTATTTATCTGGAGGATTGTTGGCCAGGACGCTGGAAGAGAGAAACTCCCCTTTACAAATTATGCCATGGTTTTTTTAACGGCCTGGTCAGGAGATCGCAGAAATAGGATGGGGAGGGTGTAAGGGGGGGTAGGGGTGGGAGCTGAAGGACATAGGGGAGTTACTCACTGGGGAAAGAGGGAGCTTTCTGTGAGGAAATTGCATGGCACATCACTTGCTGTCTCTCCTTGGTCCCCCCCGCGGTGGCCAAGGGAGGCTCCAATCATCTGTCCTGACAGTAAACCACAAAACGCTGCCCTCAGGTCTCCTGCTTCTCTCTCTGCTCCCTTTCACTCGCCTTGTTTCTCTCTCCACCCTCTCCTTCATGCTCTCACACCCCGTCTCTCACACCCTCCCCCTCTCACACCTTCCCCCTCACTAGCCCCCTCTCACACCCCTCTCTCAAAATCCCCCACTCACATCCCACCCCTCACATCCCCCCTCACTCTCCCCTTCTCACTCCCCTCCTTCTCACTCCCACCCCCTCTCACTCCCCCCCTCTCACACCCCCCACTCACTCCCCCCCTCTTACTCCCCCCTCTCACATACATCCCCTCTCACACACCCCTCTCACACCCCCCCTCACACCCCGTCTCTCACATTCTCTCTCCCCGCTCACACTCCCTCTCAAGCACTCTCTCGCACACACTCTCTTGCCCTCATTGACACTCTTTCTCAATCACTCCTCCTCTCACACCCTCTTTCCCACACTCTCTTTCTCTCCTCTCTCACGCACTCTCTCCCCCTTCTCTCAAACACACTCCCCCCTCTCTCAATTGCTCTCTCTCTCCCCCTCTCCATTAATCACTCAGCCCGGCGGATGATTTCATCCGGTCCAAGACCATTTCGAACTACAGGCCGCCTGCTCCCTCTCTTCCTAGCAAACTGTCCAGTGGCAAGAGCCAGTGGTTGGGGAGGACGTGTTGGTAAGGAGACCCACTCAGAGTAAGGCTTCCTGTCAGACTGCGCTAACGGTCGGCATTATTTCCACTCCCTGCACTGCATCCTCCCAACTGTTGGCTCCTGAGCTGTCATGAGAGGAAGTTCGCTGGGGAAGAATGGAACAGACGGCCCAAAGTTTGAAATGGTCTTGGACTAGATGAAATCAGTCGCCGGCTGGGATGTGGCCCCGCAGGTTGCCTCTTGGACCACCCTGGCCTAGACCATGAGCTCCGTGCTTGTAATGTGGGGCTTGAATCTGCAACCTCTTAATCCAAAGGTGAGAGTAGATATCAGAGTGCTACTGAGTGAGACAGGCTGATTGCAGCTTCCCAATGGCTCTTCCCCTGCGTTTGTAATCTGGGCTGCTACGAATTTAATCAAAGAGCTCACTGTGTGTGAGCTCTGTTTCCAGAATGCAGCTCTCTGAAGTCCTGAAGCGACCAGCACAAGCAAAGAGCTGTCTTATGTAATATTTACTCTCTGGCCA